TTTTATTTCTTGTGGTGAACTCTCATGTACCTTGAAATTCAACCGGATGCAGCTTTTTCTCGAACCTCTTTTAACACCACCCACCATAATTGTGGTGCCGCGTTTCAGTGACTTTTTGTATGTGTTCCCGGGAGCGCTTCAGTATCATTTTTAGAGACTGTTGGGAGTATGACTTACCTCTCTTAGACTCGTTGTTGCTGCCAGCGCTGCTATGGCTCATTGCACTTCTCGTGATGCGCTATCTCTGTCGGGAGCCTATTGCGCGCTTCGGCATGAATATGGGCGTCGTCACGGAGAACAAGGTATAAGTTCCAAAATCAGGTTTGGCTGGGTACCTGCTACATTGCTTTGACCTCACCGAAGATCACCGGAAAGGGGTATCGAAGACCAGGATCGCTATTCCCATTACACCAGGATTTCTTTGAAAGCAAGCTGTAATCTCTGCCACTGCCTCTCCCAAGGGGTTTGAGCGCGCTCCACGCGGTGGGAGTTCGCTAGGTACACCGATTTTGGCTATGTTTTGTTTTATTTCGTCGTCAAGGCGTACATCTGCATCAAGATTCATTTGTACAGCGTGTTAAGGTTGACGTGTTCGCGGCTTATTGGTGAGAAGATATGTGTGAGTATGAGGCGCAACAGGGACTTAGGACTCGAAGTATTCAAATCCTGTCATGGCCATTGGTGTTGCGGGATTCTTATTGTTAGTTATGTGTGACTCATACGAAGTCTGGCAAGCATCATTAAACTCACTTTGTATGTGAACTTCATCATTTTCATTATTACTTCCTTTCTCCCTCTACACACCTTCCTCGGGAACCTCATGAAAACTTCCACGTGAACAAACAAAGTCTAGTAGGCACTTAGGTCACTTGGCCTGTACGAATGCTTGATGCTCAAGTGCGTAGTCAATTTCACAAAGAGTGCCACGTATTAGGATGAGGAGAGTAAAGGGAACTGCCCGAAGGAAGATAACTGACACTCATCGCATACGTGTTCTTTTTACAAATGGTGCTGTTTACTACAATCCACTCTCTTGTATTCTTCTATAATAGATCATAGCTGTCTTTACTGTAGACATAATTTGAGGTATTTTATAAGTTTCAGGACTCGTTAATAAACCAGAGTTTTTTTGATTCATTGTTACACACCTTATTTTTATTCAATTCGCACAGCTATACAAATATAAGATATAAACGGAAAATGGCCTCCGCCGATCCCGAGAATAGGGTCTTTGAAGAAAACCCGAGCCGGCTGTCGATAGACGCAGGGGATACCACTCAGAATGGGGGCCTCCCACGGGCCAGATCGAGGCACACCAGCTTCCTCCTCAACAACAACTCCACCGTGGACTTCAACCCCGGGCCGCTCAACATGATGAGCAGCGTGCCGGACGCCTTCAGCCTGCCTCTTTCGTGGTGGAATCTGAGCTATCGGGTGGGCGACGTCCAGATCCTGGACGGCCTGACAGGCACCGCGTTGCCGGGCCGCTGTCTGGCGATCATGGGCTCCTCCGGCGCGGGCAAGACGACTTTTCTCAACGCGATTTGCGACCGCCTCGCGTCCGGGGGGGCGATCAAGCTTTCCGGGAGCCGTCAGCTCGGCGATATCAAGTACGAGCGGCGCTTTCGCAAGGCGTTGGGGTTCGTCACGCAGGACGACATCCTCTCTCCGATGGGCACCCCGTACGACGCGATATGGTTCGCCCTGCGGACGCGACGCGGGACGGACCGCGTGGAGACGCACGAGCGGGTGATGGAGCTGTTGGAGACGCTGCGGCTGACGCACTGCAAGGATACGATCGTCGGCATCCCGGGCCTCGTCACCGGCCTTTCGGGTGGGGAGCGGAAGCGGTGCAGCATCGGCGTCGAGCTCGTCAGCGATCCCAAAGTGCTGCTGCTCGACGAGCCAACCTCGGGGTTGGATTCGGTGACCTCCGCGAAGCTGGTGAAGCAGCTGCGGGAGCTCGCGCGCGTCGGGCGGACGATTATCTATACCATCCATCAACCCACCGCGGAGGTGCTCTCGTCTTTCGATGACCTCATGCTCTTGACGGGGGGCCGCTGCGCCTACCACGGCACGATGGCGGATTCCCTTGACTACTTCGAATCCATCGGTTTCAAGTGCCCCGAGCACTACACCGCGGGGGATTACTTTATGAAGCTGCTGCAGGACGAGCGGACGTCGCACGTGATCGTGGAGCGGTGGGAGCAGCACTTGAAGAAAGGAAAGCGCACCCCGCACACCACCTCCATCCGGCTCGCGGTGAACCCTAACGAGTCCACCACGGCGAAGTTCTTGAAGCTCTATATTAAAAAATTTGGAAGATCGTCGCTCATCCAACTCAACGAGGTATTTTTTCGACGAGTTAAGGAGATCATGCGAGATCGGCTGTTCATTATATCGCTCGGCATGCAGGAACTGTTCTTTTCCATCATTGTCGGCTTGATCTTTCTGCATATTGGTAAGGATATTGAAAGCATTCAGGATCGTACGGGTCTTTTATTCATGGTTGTTGTCAATCGTGCGTTTTCGTCCGTTTTTACTATTTTGAACTCCTTTTATAAGGTTCGTCCGGTATTCATGCGTGAGCAAAATGCCGGTGCCTACTCGCCACTTGTTTACTTCGTTGGTACCATGACCGCCCAGTCTCCACCGATGATTTTCTTTTGCCTTTTAGAATGCATTATCATATACTTTCTAGCTGGTCTCTACATCTCGGCTGGAGCCTTCTTTTTGTACTTTTTCATTAACGTGTTGCTTCAGGAAGTTGGTGTGGGGGTTGGATTCCTGCTCTCAGCCTGTTTTGAATCCATAACCGTTGCTAGCAGCATCGTGCCGCTGATCCTGGTTCCGTTGAATGCGGCGGGTGGTCTCTTCGCCAGTGTTGATCGCTTGCGACCGTATTGGTATGAACTCGAAAAGCTTTCCTTTATTCGCCATGGCTTCATCCTCCTGATGCGCAGTGAGTTCAAGCGTCTTGATCATATCGACTGTAACGTGCAGAAGTATGGTGAGCTGTTCTGCTTGAATCAACCTCATAACGGCAAGGATGTGTTAATGAATATTGGCTTCGACTCGGATCCGCAATCAAAAAGTCTCTACATGTGGTTATCACTTATAATTCTATGGGTGTTGCTTCGAATTTTTTGTGTTATTGCCTTAACGGTGGTTTCCCGCCAAAAGAGTTCATAAAGGGGGGAAGAGAAAATACATAAGTATTGATTTCGTTGTGATTACTTCTTTTTTACCTTTTTTGGAAAGACTCATTCAAGGGGTTGAATTTCAAAAATGACAGGAGCCGTAATAGAATCATTTAAAGGAAAATATTTTATTTAATGATTATCTATTTCATATATAAATATAAATAGTAGCACCCATAGAGTGTATGTGCGAGGGACTTCTGTAAAGATATTCGTTACTTTGTACATCAGCTCCCTCATAAGTAACAAAAATATTAATAGGTATAATTCATTAAATTTACCACCTTCCTCCTTTATCTCATTAAGGATTTTTTGCTTGTTAATAATGATGATCAAGATAGTTTCTTCACGTCTGAAATGTATAAAATAATCCTCGACTGACGGCACCTCAATGCAGTTGCCTATATTAGTAAAGCCTACGCTAAATCGTGAGAATACGCTATTTTACATTGTGGGATCTTTATAACTTTTCTTTTTTATTGAGTGCGCAACGGACAAATTAGTTCCGTTGCTGTAGATTCTTAGCCCTGATAGCATCCGTGTGTGAAACACGCAAACAGTGAATGTCGTGAGTGTGCAACGTCACGTCATGTTTACTTCCCTTTTCATTTCTCCTTATAATATAGAAAGCAGTTGGATATCTCTTCTCTTTTCTCCTCCTGTCGTCTGCTCTGCAGGTTGCTGTGTTTGAGACGTTCACACACACACGTGTTTAATTTGGGTATGGATAGGTGTGTGTGTGGGGTATTGAGGATCCATTGCAGAGATCTCAACAACTTTTTTAAAATGCACACAGCAATTGCGGGAGATATAAAAAAAAGAATTGGTGGAGATGAGTTATAGTGTTTTTTCATTACTCGACTCTACTGCTGATTTCTCAGTACTGTGCAAGCGCTCCTTGTACTGAGTTTGTGTAAGAATAGTGATGTAATGATGATGGTCGCGTTGGTAGCGGCGGTGTTAGCGCGCAAGGGCTTGCGTATTACACAGTTAGGGCACGTTCTTTTATTGTGCAATATGTTAACTAATTATTGCGTTTCCATGGGATTCCCCCCCCCTCCAAATATTATCTAAGAGACAAGTTTAATTGATACTACAGTTGAACATTATTATGGGGCTTGGGTTATTCCACACAGTTCTCTCTTTTTGCTTCATACCATTTTATTATCATTCTTATCACTTTGAGTTTTCTCAGTCAGCATGGCCTTTGAAGACCCGCTTATCTTTCTATGTTCTCTTCATTTGGCTCATGATCATTAAGGACATGTATGGTTCTCTTTTCCAAGTGAGCCACCAATACATTTACTCTATTCTCGTTTTAATGATCTAATGATATCAGAATTACTAGGCTCATTTTATTTGCACTGTAATGATGAGAAATAGTGTGTGTCAGTGGAAGCACTAACATGAGGTGATTACCTTTTATATCACCAATTCCACGCAGTGGTGCTCAACAGCAATATTTACTATCTCCTTTCTCTCTTCAGGTGGGATTCAGAGTTTTTCATCAGATAAGATTCAAAGGCAAGTGGGTATAAAACTTATTACCTGGTCACCATTTTTCTTATTGGATTATTTTAGGTTGAAGGGAGGCGATACTCCATGACGCACACAATGCAAGATAGAGGGGTTTCCTGGAAGAGGCACATCCTGTTTTCAATCGGGTTGTCCGTCATGCTGACTATTTTTTTCGTGATACTCCTCTTCGGAGACGTCCTCCTCTCCATCATCTTTCTGCTTCTCCTGCTCCTCATTGTGTTGTTCATCATCACTACAAATCGGACGGAGTGGTCCACCACTTTCCCCACCTCCGAGCAAGAGAGGAGGGAGCGCGAAGGTTACGTGGACGTACAGGCGGTGTATTTTTTGGCTTCGCAACACGGCGGCGTGATGCCCTTAGTCATCCCAGAGAGCAACACCAGCGCCTCCGGAACCGCGGTAGTGGGGATGCCCCTCTGCATCGATCCCTCACAGGGCAATAGCTCCCAGACGAAGACCTACGTTAGCGGAAATGAAACGAGCGTCTACGAGGACGGGGATCTGGTGTATGGTAGCGCGGTGTATCTCTCCGCACCGCTGTCCCCGGAGGGGGATCCTTCCACGTCTACGAAGGAGAGCCCTCTGAGGCAGCCGCACACCGTGGCGAGTTCTCCCGTTCGCGCAATGCCGTCGCATGGGGGTAATGAAAACGTTGCCGAACCTCCCGCATTTCTGCCTTGTTCTTCCAAGGGAGGTGAAGGGGTTTGACGTTGCGGAAGGTGGCGAGGGAGCGTCCGTGTTAGTCCTGCACGTGTTGATGAAGGGGAGAAATTTAAAGAGTAAAAGGCGATGAGGGTCTGTTTAAAACGTATGGAATGGTCTCGCCGGACTAATTTTTTTTTAGTCATGAAAGAATGTGACTTTGCTTTTACCTTTGCACATGGAGCAGCTTATATTTTTCATTTTGCTTTTTTTTTTCCAATACATATGTGTTGTTATTTGTGAGAATGCAGCAAAAGCATGAAGCTTCGATATATGTCTACTACTTGTATTTCACTTAGCACTTGTTTTCAGCATACTCACTGCATTATATCCTGATGTTGTTAATGCTGACGTATTATTCGGATTTATTTATGATGTTTTTTTTTCATTAAACGGTTGAGATATAAACTATAAATATCTACAATGTTTAATTATATCCGCTATTGCACGTATTGTTATGGAATTAAGCTTTCCTCGCTGATTGGATATTATCCCAAGAAGCAAATATACAATGCCTAAATATTGCTTTGCATCTTTCTCCCCTTTGATGCGTCAGCGACATCAGAAGTTCCGCTTCCTACAAATGAGCTCTATATGTGTGTCTGCGTTAGGAAGCAGAAATAATGCTCACTATATATAGTGAAATATGGTTAAGTATTTGTTCTCTTATATATTTACACGTACCGATATATATATATATATATTTGATTCCTGCCCTCCTGCCATGTATGCGCACATTTTTCTCACTTTCCCTACACTTTTCTTTTTTTCTTAAATTCTTCCCTTTTGTTGAAGCTGGGTTCGATTATGTTCTCCTTCCCCGCAGTTCATTATCCGACTACGCTGTAGCAACACCGAGTGAATACGGAAGACGTTCTTGGCGATGCTAAAGAGGATGTCGGTCTTTTACGTCAACCTCGTTCCCGCGGCGAGGGCAAATTAGAAGCGTTGGGCCGGCAAAGTCAAGAAGGCGGTGCATAAGAAGAAGGAAGAGAAAAAGGCGGAATAAAAAGCTGCTTCTGCTCCTGCTTGCGGGCGCCGTGCAGGACGGCATTCCGAACTTTTGGTTAGCAGCGATGTGCAATTCAGATTTGGTGGGGCTGATAATTACGGAGCGCGATCGGACCGCGCTCGCCTTCTGGAACTGAATCGCAACGGCGTACGTCGACGGGGATTCGCACAAAGGGGTGCGGCTGATGTTTGGTTTGTCACCTAATGCGTATTTCCAGACTCCCAGCCTTACCAAGACGTATTAAAAGGGTTTCGACAGCGAGGCCGGTGCGCTGGAGGTGGAGAAGATCGAGGGCTGTGATATGAACTGGACCTCCAAGGCGAACAACCCCATCGTCACCCTCGTGGTGAAGCAGCAGCGGCGTAAGAAGACGAAACCAATCCGCGTTGTGGAGCACGAGGAGGCTTGCAGGTCGTTTTTAAAACTTCTTCTTGCCTCTCTACGAGGGAGGGGAGGAGGGTGACGACGTGGACTGTGATCAGGAGTGGGTATTGAATATGGAAGTTGGGAAGGAACTGATAGAGGAGATCATTCCGAAGGCGGTATTTTTCCACATGGGGAATTCCGTGGAGACGATGTTGCACAATGGATACGGCAGCATGGATGACAAGGAGGAGGAAGAAAAAGGAAACGGTCATCTGAAGCCAGGCGGCCGTGGAAGAGGCCGATTGAGCTCAAAGGCGGAGGTGTGCAAGAAGCAGTAGGGCGAGAGAAGTACACTCTCCCCTTCTTTCTACTCTTGCAAGTTTTTTTTTTTTTAATAGCCCGCGTTAATCCAAGAAGTAACAGGCTGTAAATGGATCAAGCAAATGCCAATATCACCAAGCAAACCAATGTGTACTTAATATAATATGCTAGAACTGAACATGGCAGGCTTTGCCTCGTTGATTTATAGGCATAGGGAGGGAGGTGGGGGAAGCGCCTTGGTGGAATGGAACACTCCTTTTGCTCTTTTTCTTGTGCCCTTGCAAAAAAAAAGGATCCAACTACTCCTATAGGGGGATGAGCTATAGTGAGGAAGATATCGTCAGCTGAATGGAAATGTATCACCGATGATTAGCCAACGTGGGGTTGGAGGAGTGCGAAGGTGGATGTATATGTGGCTGCTATACCCATACACACATACAAAGCACGTTGGTTTTCTTTTCCTTTGTTGAAATGCTTTTTTTTTCTGAGAAGAAAAGCATGCTGCAGAGAACTTCAATAAACTTTCATAGCCACTTGAAAAGTTACGTATCCACATGCGTGAACTAATCCATGTTTTCTTGAACGGAAGGATCCGATACTATGTTTTCTTCTTTTTTATTCAGTGATGCTGTTTGATTACCCTTTGCTTTCCATCCCCTTTGAACCGTCTTTCATTCCCTTTCAGTAAATCCATTAGTTGTGTGGAAAATAAAATAGGTTGGCGGTGGCGCGTGTCTCCTCCTTCGTTTCTTTTTTTGTTTCTTCCCTTACGTGGTTCATTTTACATAGCGAGATATCGAATGCACATCTGTTCATAGCAGATACGCTCCCTATATATTTTCCTATATAGGCATCGAGATGCACTTTTCAGTGTTGAACCCCAACAATTACTGGTATACCGATGAACCAGAAGTCGAGGAGGATTCCCATTTAAGTGTTTCATTCGTCTTTATGATTCTCATGGTGGCGGTTATCTTGTTGGTGTTGTTGGTGAGCATCTTTGTCTTCGCGGTGATTCGGTTGATGCAAAAGCGTAACAGGGACGACGCGGCCACCGCGGCTGATAATCAAGGGCAAACCGCCCGCGGCGTGCCGTTGGCGATGCAGCTCCCGACCGATTCTCCAGAGGTCGCGCGGGGGACCCTTCCTGATGGGCAAACCGCCCCCGATCCCGCGCGTGGACCTCCACGCGATGAAAGCCACCTTCTCTTCCACGAAAGTCGCGTTCATCCTCTGCGAGGGTCAGGGTTTTCTTCGCATCCCGAGCGGGATGAACCGCTCCATCATCACCACTCCCGACCAACACCTCTGAATAGCTACCCCGAGGCATTACCGCACGATCCTGTGATGGCGTACTACGACAGCGAATTCACGGATCCACATCTTTATCAGATCGGACATGAATATCAGCATCATCTCTTCGTAACCGCGGTAAACGATGACGAGGAGGATGAGCATCATATTCATGAAGGTGGTAACAACAATAATAATAGTAATGACAAGGATGCGGGCAGTAAACCGAGCGTGGAGTGCTCGGAGTTGGAGTACGGGCATGCGCGGTATTTGAGTGAGACGGCGGTATCAAGTATTGCTTCCGCGGACATTGTTTTCTATGATGAAGGGGAAGTCCAATGTGAGCGCGATGACAAGGATCCATAGAGGGAGTAATCACTGATTGTGCTTTGCGCGTTATCGATTCATCCTCCATTATTTTTCGAAAGTTATATTGCGTCATATGTCACCTTCAAATTTACATAATTTTTATCATATAAATATATATATATATATATATATATTTATTTATATATATATAGTTTTTTCTATTGTTGTCGACTAAACAATTTGTACTTTGTTTTGAAAAATTCGTATTGTGCTGCTGTGATGCACTTAGTACGGGGTACTCTTTCTTCCTTTTGAGAACATCAAAAACATCTGATCAATTCGAGGCACCAAAAAATATATATCCATTCTCATTCTCTGTAGATAGCTGCAGACGTTTTGAGAAATAACATAGTTAAATATTCGATAAAGTATCATCATTTTTCTTGTTTGGACGACAGGAGAAGGTGAGTGGGGAATTTTTTTCAAATCTACCTGTAGTCGTTTATGCACTTTAATAATGATGAGAATAATATTGGATTTATATTTTTTGCTTAAACAGTCACCATGAGGTGTAATATTTGTTTTATATAGCTAATAATTGCTACACGTAGTTGATGAAGTGTACATGTATATGTACAAGAGAACCTTCTTTAGTATTTCCAAGGCCTACTGCACTTTTACCTAGAATCAAAGGTAATAAAATGACATGCAAGAAAAAGCCGACCAAAAATTAAGGGTAGCTGCATCAAGCGTGTTTTCTAAAAAAATAATATGTGCAACAATATAGTGATGAAACTTTTTTTTAACAAGGGCTAATATCAGCTGATTTTGTTTGAATATTAAAGAGGTCACTCCATGATGTTACTGCGTTAAAGGTAAATTTTATAACCTTTGCATCGTCGAGGTATAATTCTATTGCAGGTTATGTATGGATAACGTTATTGCTATCCGGCGTATTTGTGGCAAGATACTAGTCTTTGCATTTCAACGGGCTTATGTTGGGTATAATCACGCATGTGTACATATATATATATTTATATGACTATTATAGCGGTTCTTTCTTAGCGTTAAGTGAAGTTTTTTTTTTGGATATTTAACGTCTTACTCGTCTTTTAGCTATACGAAGAACGAATATTAACAAGCTAAATTGTATTAAATAATGTAAGGGGATTATTTTCAAACACTATTTCATCCCACGCATTTATCTATTGACCATATGGACAAGCTCATGCATGATGAACCCAGCGATCTGTAAATTTTATAGATCGGAATCGATTTCTAGATATCAATTCATTGCATTTCAATACTTTCTTATGTGTTATTGGACCACCTAGTTGCGCTAATGACTAGGAAATGCGAAAGGCTAGTAGATTTGAATGTAAATAGTGTTGAATCCATCTTATGCTTAAGGGCAATGGGGGGAGTCACTCTGCCCTTCTATTAAGACCGATTTTAATGCTATTCCAAATTTATGAATTGACTATGAATTCAACGCGTTTATTTCCCTATTTCAAAAAAGAAATACAACATTCCCAAAATCCTCTTATGACTTAAGCTTAAATAAATAGTTAAATGTAAATGTGCTGCACTTTAGGAGCGATTACTGCATATCCTGATTATCGTCCTTTAAAGGGTGTTTGGAGTGCCATTATCAAAAGAGCCCACACATCAGATTGGTAGTGACAAAATTTTGTCCCTTGAGGGCTCTTTCCTTAATGACAAAAAAGTGTAATTCTACGATTTGTGGCTGTGTTATTAGTGAGAAAATACAAGGGTGGGCCAAAACACCTTGTGATTTTCGATTGAAGAACACTATGATTTCTAATAGCAGTTTTTCCTCCAAGCAATACTGCTTTGTATTCCATATTTTGCATGTGCATAGCGCCACTTTATTATCGAGAATGCTGTAGTACCAATAGATTCGGTTTAACTCAATATAAGGACAACTGTCGTGGTACCATTTCATTACCCCTTTTTTGATAGATCCATGAGCAGATTGTGGACTCCTTGACGTATTGTTGAGTACTTTTTTTCCTTTTTTTCTGTTTGCACCATTTCTTTTTTCTGGATGTTAGCAATCCAAGAGGTAAGTAGTCTTCTTTTGAACATAGCGAATTTGAAAACTAAGGAACCAAAACAAAAAACGAGAAATCTAAAGTTAAATAAAAAGGGTTCCCCATTTTTGTGACAAGAGAAGGGTTCTTCGATCTTTTCGAAGCTTGTTGGCCTACTTGTGTAGCAGAGCCACCATTTTAAAAAAATAGCAGTGGCCGATACATACCCTTACATCTATATCGGTCCATATACATCTAAAGATAGTTTTTCCTTTTTTTTTTTTGGATCTCTCTTTTTCAATCGATTAGCAAACAAGGGATGAAAGAAGAGCTCCGTCCCAAGGAGGCCACTATGATGCGGGAGATCCGCGCGACCTACGAGGCGTTGCGCGATCAATCCCCCCTTCCTCCCAGCGCTGTTACACTCTCTAACGATTTCCCGCGGCGGCGGCGGCGGCGACTTCCCCGCGCCGTCTTCGACATCCTCTCGGACGTCCGCGCGCCGCCGGGGAGCGCCTTTGATGAGATGAATTTGGAGCTCATCGTGCGCGCACGGCGGGGTTTCACGGGGGGGAATGCGATTCGAAATCGACTTTTTGCGTGGCATGCGGCGCTTCGGGCGGTCGTAGGGGCTTCTTCCGCTCCGCTTCTGATTGAGGGGTGGTTGGAAGGGCTTGTTTCCTATTATCTTCAGAATATTAGCAGGCGTTTCATCGCCCTTGGCCTCGAACCCGTTTCCTTGCCTAATAACGACGACGACGACAGCGACGACGACGACGAAAAAGAGGGAAAAGACGGAGAGGAAGGGGAAAAGGTGACGATCTGGCACTTCACCCTATCCTCTCGCTACACACGGGCTTTTGACGAGGACTTCTGCGTGATCGCCTCTGACGCCCGACGGATTATCACTGAGAAGGGCTACGAAAACCCACACTTCGTGGAGTGTTTGAGAATCCTGTCGAGGTTCGTGAATGGCATGGAGGCCGCGTTGAAGCTCGCGCGGAGCTTCGCCGACGTCGGCTTCTGCTCTCCGTTGGTGGTTCTAAAAGATTCAGAGGGCGGCTCGCGGTTTTCTACCCACGGCGTCGAGGCGTTGGGGGATTTGGAGGCCGTCTTCGGGAATTTAATCCGTCGGGAGGGGTGGGTGTTCAATTTGATTACGATCTTTCTTGGCGCGTCGAAGATCTTCTTCGAGCTCCATTTTAAGCCCGCCGAGGGGTCCTCATCCGAAGCGAAGGAAGGGGAAAGGCGAATCTCTCCTGAGGAGATCCAAACCACGCTGCAGCACGCCGCCAAGCTGATTCAAATGGCCCTCGCCGGCAGCGGTGCGAACTCTGATTTGTTGAATGTGATTATTTTACAACACGTGATCGAGGAGTGCACGAGTCGGTTCCCCCCCCCGGTCCTCGTCGCACATCTTGCGAGTGGAAAAGAAGCGATGGCGCGGTTGTCCACCGCCGGGAACGCGGCGGGTCTCTCCGCCTGTAGACTTATCCGCTCGATGCCCCTCTTCCACATCTTAATGCGCGAGGTTTGGGATTTCGTCGACGTTGTGGACCGCTTCGCCGAGGTGTTGGGGGTTCAACCCGAATGGACCCGGGTGGTCATCCTCCGGCGGGTGTTTCTCCTCGACCCGGAAGCCATCCAGGCCGCGTCCCAGACCCCCCCCCCCCCCCTCCTCCCCCTCCCCCGCCCCCTCCTTCCTTCCCCCCTCCCCTTCTTCCTCGCTTTCCCCCACGTCCTCTCCGGTTCCCTTGGCCTCGCCTGTGCCACGCGGGCCGACGCCTGCGTCCCCGTCCCCTTCCCTTTCCTTTTCCCCTGGGGCTGTCACAACCCCGCAGGACTTCCCTCACGAGTGCTTCCGGCTTTTCCTACGGGGTGGGCTGCTCCGGGAGTTTTGGACGCCCCCTCCCGTCACGGGGGATCCGGCCGTGGCCGACCACGCCGGGGGGCTGATGGTGGACCTCGCCGCCCTCGCGAGGCGCGCCGCCATCCCGCTGTGTCGGCGTCTCCGGATGTGGGAGCTGCTCCGCGTCGGGGAGCAGCCCAGCCGGGGGTC